GTGCCACCTATACCTGCCTTTCTTGGATCAGGACACAGGCTGTCTCATGAGCCTATATTTCAGGAAAAAACACTACATCATAGATCTGTTTGCCAAGGTTTAAACTGAAGAGTTTAATATCCTAGCCTACGTTTTTTCCTTCCCTTGCAACTCATAGTCTTCCTAATTCTTTTACCCTTTTACCACCTTCAGAATGGAATAAACTGAGGCATATAAATGCATTTTGATTCATCCTATATATACTGGTTCAGCTGTAGCAACTGCAGTGTTTATGGACATTGCAGTCAATTATTTAAGGTACTCTTCTACTGCTGCAAACTAAAATGTGACTACAGTTCTGCAAGGTATCATCAGAAAAGTCAAACATTCATTGGCACTTCAAGACTGTTTTTTCTGCTCGGTAAGCAGTCCCATGGTATTCATTCGTCACCCAATCCCAGTGTCTAAATTTCCTCACAGTGATTGTCTGGCTGAAGGAGCTCTCTTTCCGCAAAAGCTCTGACAGTGGAAACTAATACAAATCTGACATTTCTGGAGGCCAAAAAATAAATAAAAGAAAATAAAATAGATCCATGTTATGCTTACCAAACACCATTCTTTGATTAGGAAATACTGTGTGAGAAGGAAACTGCTGTTTCTTATATTTCACTTGGATGCAGCATGGAAGAGTCTGTCAGTGATATGCAAGTATGTAAAGGAGGGCATGATCACCTCCTTTATACACTCAACAGAAATGCAAAGAAAACGTTTGCATAAGAACAAAAGAAGCTTGCTGGGTCAGAAGAAAGTCCAATCTAATCAGCATTTTCTTCCCACAGTGGCCAACCAGGTGCCTATCTGAAGTCCACAACAGGACATGACAGCAACTGCACCCTCTCACCCATGTTTTTCAGCAATGGAGATACAGCAGCATAATGCCTCTGATACTGGAGGTAATGTATAGCATCATGACGTGTAGCCATACGTGCCCCTATTCATGGACAATGAGCCAAAATGGGTTGGTTGTCATGAGAACAATCCATGATGAGCCTGATCCCAAGGACACCACATAAGGGAAAAGTCATTTCCTGCTGCCTCCACAGTAGCAATATCATCATCATCATCATCATCATCATCATCATCATCATCCTGCAATTGTGAAAGCTAGTTTGGATAGCTATGATCAACTCCTTTAAATTGCCCCAGCAGCACATTGGAAGGGGCATCCATGGTTGCCAAGCATTTTGGGGGGGACTTACAGCCCCTTCACAGCAGGATCATTATCATCTCCTCCCCATTAGTTCCCATCAGGATGCACACTTCACACTTTATCCTCAGGCTCTGAGTGCTCTGGAAAGTATGAAACTACACCCTACCCTATTTTTCTAGGAAAAGGAGCTTTGACAGTTTTGGCAAGTAGCTGTCAAAACTCTGGATCCTTTAAAAGGGATGGTTTGAGTAGGAAAAGGGACATGCAAAAGCATGTGTTCCAGTCCAAAACCAGTGAGGATCTATACACACACACAAGGTTAAAGGGAAAAGTCATGGCAAGACCGAAATAGCTCACAGTGGGAAGGAGGGGAAGCTAGTACAAGGTGACCCTAAGCCCCACTCGGACACTTTGCTGGCGCTGGCGCTGGCACTGGCACTGGCCCCATGTCAAGAGCAGCAAGGGTTGTTGTCTGTTGTCATGGGTCTTGCTAGCTGATTCCTTGTGCTCACAATGGTGTCAATTGCCCAAGACAACACAAAAACTCATCACGCGCAACCACTACAACAATCCATGGGTTATTGGTGGCTTTTTTGTTCACACACAAGCAGTCCTGTAGATGGCAAGCCATGTTGGGTTGTCATGTCATGCAAACACACACTGCTACTATTTTATTTTTATACTGCCCAAAAGCCAAAGCCCAGTTGCTGTAACCTCCAGTGATTCTTGCACTGCAGGGAGAAGCTAAGTGGTATACTCTTCTATAGAAGTACTGTAGGATCCTCCTGCAGAGTCCTCCTTTGCATCTGATCACCCTACCTAACAGCGATGAAAAGCGCTGGCATGATTATTGGAGCAGTAAGACGCTATAGCACAGTACAGAAATAAAATGGAATGAATATATAAGAACTTCAGGATTTCCTCCTCTTTAAATCATCCCAACTTCGGATAACTTTGGATTTCCACATCTAATAACCCATGACCAAGGCTACCAAATCCCTGTGTGACTTTGCCCTCTCTAACCCATTTTATTCTGGCATGCTCTCTAGAGCCAAGTACCCCTCAGAGGCTGGACATAGCTAGGGGTCATCTGCTCAGCCTTATTACTAACAATTCCACCGAGTCTTTGGGATCTTTGAGAAACACAGTGACTCCTGACCCTAGACCTGACAGGATGGGAACAAATACAGGCTGTTCCCAGCAGCTCTGGTTGCCTGAAATGCCTAATTAACACTTCATCAAATGGGGCTGGCTGTCCATCTGTAGAAATTCTTTTACACCTGTGTATGTGTATGTCTCTGGTTCTCCTCTCTACCCTGCAGGCAGCCATCTCAGCAACACTAAAGAAACAAAAGATACTCAGTTCCCAGATGCCTATCCTGCCTTGGACATAGCCATGAATGAGGCAGTGCAGCTACTCAGTAAAAGTCTTGTCTGGGAGCACCTCAAACTGATGCCCGCCAGGCATTTCAGACTTCCAACTCCTGTCTGTTCCAGCTGCTATGTACGATACTCAGGAATGCTGGGAGGTGTAGTCCAAAATATCTGAAAAGCACCTCAGGGAAGGATGGTTTAGTCGCAGGATTTCCATATCATGCATAATTCCTTGCCGCTAGCCATGATAAGCAGAAGCAGAATACATGATTCCACATATAAAGTGATCAAAAAGAGAGGATACAGAGTTCCTTGATTTACACAGATTGCCTTTTTGTTTCAACTTCTGAGTTCCCTTAGCAATTCATGGTATGTTCTTTTATTTTAGCACAGGATGTTAATTAATACATATACTTATTTATTACATTTATATTCTGCATTTTTAATTCAATATGAAAGCCAGAGGAGCTTATACTGTTGTTATGTGCCATCAAGTTGTGTCTGACTTATGGCGACTCTATGAATTACAGCCTTCCAAAATGTCTTGCCCATGAGATCCCTGCTTAGCTGTTCTAAATTCAAGACTGTGGCTTCCTTCATGGAATCAATCCATCTCTTATTTGGTCTTCCTTTTTTCCTTCTGCCTTCAATTTTCTCTAGCATGAGAATCTTCTCCAGTGAGTCTTGCCTTTTCCTGTGAACAAAGTTTGACAGTCTCAGTTTTGTCATTTCTGCTACTAGGGAAAGCCCTGGGTTGATTTGATCTAGATATCTTTCTGTTCATCCAGGATATGCACAAAGCTCTCCCCCAGCACCATGTTTCAAATGCATCAATTATTTTCCAGTCCTTTTCTTTTTCTTCACTGTCCATACAGGGTGATCAGGAATACGAAGGCTTGAATGATCGTGGTCTTCAGTCTCCATCCTTACATCTTTTCTAGGTCCTTCACTGCTGCCCTTTCAAGTTTCAGTCTTTGAACATTGAATTTCTCGGCTGAAGTCTCCTTTTGAATTGATGACTGAGCCAAGGTATACAAAATCTTTCACAATTTCATTTTTTTCCACTGTTAACAGTAAACTTCTGAAATTCTTCTGTAGTCATGCTGTTTGTTTACTTAATGTTCAGCTGCAGTTCAGCTTTTGCACCTTCTTCTTTCACTCTCATCATGAGTGATTTCAAGTCATTGCTGTTTTCTGCCAGTAGTTACATGAACTTTTCCCTCTATGTTTTATCATCCCAATAATTCTGTGAGATAGGTTAGGCTGAGAATCAGTGACTGGTCCAAATAAGCTTCATGACTTAGAGAAAACTAGAACTTGGATCTCCCGAGTCCCAATCCAACACTTTAAGCATTATGCCATTCTGGCTGTCATGCAGAGTACACACAAACATGGTTTCTTGTCATATCCTTTGTGCACACTTCACACTTCCTTGGAAGTCAAACTCACTGAACTCAGTGGAAGTTACAAACATGAACAGAACCATCACTTAAATATTAATCCCACCCCCCTTTCCATAAACATACATTATCTTCTGTAAGCTAAATAAACCCAGTTCCTTCAGACTGATGGGATTAACCTTCTAGACCCCAGCAAAGTTTCTGGTTTCCAATATCCTTTCTGAACTTTGGTGCTCAGAAGATGTGGCCTACCAGCTCTAAGCAGATGCATGATTTCTTCCTAATGCTATTGCTAAATACAGTATACAATGGTATTTTGCTGCCTGATAACGCTACACATTTCCCCCTATTTGTACACTTGATTCTTCTTTCCTTTTGACTTTGCTGAATTTCATCATGATGTTATGTGCAATGTTCCTGGATTCATTTAGTTCATTTAAAACTTTTATTTTCTGAAGAATTACCATCCCTTCGGGTTTTCTATCATCAGGGCTTCTTCCCTTTAATATGGAGTAAAGGAATATATGGGAATCCAGAATGGTCGCAAGGGTTCCCAGGCTGGCTGTTAACAATAACTAATGGCACCAGTGTTTTAAGCATTTAGAACAAAAACAGCTAAATAGTACCGGAAAATGGGAAAGAAAAGCAGTAATACACGAGGGTGAATGAGTGACAGACAGACATGGACACTTGCTCTGACTGACCTGGCAACATTGTCAATTGAGATGAAAATGTATGATTGTTCCAATTTTTCAAATGACAGAACCTGGCCCAACTAGCAGCTATAACATCACCTCCCTCTTTTGGCTGGAAATGCAGGGTACCAAAAGTGAGAGTGTAGTCAATATAGTTTTTAACTTATGGCCCCAAGGTGGTCGTGATACTTTTAACAAATGAATGGCAGGCATGGCTTTTTCCATAACACCATGAGCAGGGAGAAGACACATCTGCACAGATATCCAGAGAGCCAATATTATGTTTCTGGGTCGACAGATTCCCTAGATCCCTCACTGCTTGCTACACACCACATCACTCACCCATCCAGGAGGGCTATAACATTCTTCCTAGGCCTCCCAATGTTGGGCCCATACAAGTTGGCTCGGGAGTAGATGCGGATCAGCTGCAGCAGCCTCTTCAGCTGCATGTAGTCCTTGCCCAACTGAGTGCCATTCACTGCTCGCCCTGTCAGGGCTCGGTAGTTATTTGGTTCTAGAAGCAAACAGAAGCAAGCATTTACCGACTCCGGCCTGGTTACTCTGAAAAGAGTGCCCAGAATGGTTGGCCTTCACTAGCTTGGAGACGCTATGTGGAAGGGCCTAGAAGAGGTGACACAATAGTGCTTTTCAGTGCAATCCTATACATACTCTCTCAGGAGTAAATCCAATTCAATTTGACAAGCCTCATCTCTGGTAGAGAGATATAGGGCTGCACTATTATCATCTTTTTTATTCTCTGGGAACTGACACATTTTTAATCTCACAGGTGGGCTCACACCTTCCTTACACCATCAAGATAGCAATCTCTTTTTGGCCCATTACTTCTATTTGCCCCTTTGTTCCTATGACTATCAGTTGCAGTAAGCCTCTTCCATACCATTTCTCTCACAGAAATCTCAAGTGTTGGTCCCAGCCTAGGAGGTGACTGGACCCGGGTATTTTTTGATCCCACCTCTCGCTCCTCCAAATCCCTACCCCCTTCCCCAAACCCCACTCACCATTGCCCAACTCCCAGGAGATGTTGTACTTCTTGCTGGCACTGTACTTGAGGAGGCTGAGGGCATTGGAGCTGTTCCAGGAATTGTTGGGGTTCCGGCGCAAAGCATTCAATGCAAAGATGAGGTGGAGGCCGGAGCAATCAGCAAAATTATAGAGTTTGTCTAGAGACCTGGCTAGGAAGAAACAAAACCAGCCTGAAACTCAAGCACGAAGAACTCTAAGTTCCAGAGAATAAACCCCAATGCCTCTGTAGTTGCCTGCCTTTGTAAGAGAATAGATCCAGGCAAAGGACCATCTAACCACTATATTATTGGCTCTCACACAGAATAGTACACAACCCTCGAAATCAGTTCTAGGCAATTCTAGGCATCCACTAGTATACTTCCTCTCAAAATAGTGATGTGATTTAACCTTAGAGGAGGCACTCAGAAATTTTCCAGATTGTCTCATCATGCAATAAATGCTGTTATCATAACCCAGATCTACCCTTCTTTTCCCGGATTAGGAAAACTTCTAGATGAGGATTCAGTGGTATCATTACCCTGCCACATTCATAGAAGTTTAGGAGGTTCCAGACAACCCTCTTCTACTTGTGATCCATCCATGTTTTCTTAACTCTTCTTTCCCCTTTTCCTTAATGCAAAAAATCTGATAAGAAAAAGAGAGGAACAGCTGTGCAATCGCTTCTGGTTCCTAGTGCTGGAACCCTCTATCTGGAAGTGCTGCAGTTCTCCTGTTACAGGGTATCCCAGCACTCAAGTTGCAATACTATGCTGTTGTTAGAAATGTCCACCCCACCTTACTAGTGTTATCACTTCTACATACAAAATGGCAATATGAGTATCACTGGGGCTAACTGGCTTGTGGCTGTGATATCACTGATATCAGATGATGCCCTCTCTACCCTGGCAGCTGGTTTGCCACTGTGTGCACAGAGTCCTGGACTAGATGGACCTTTGGTCTGATCCAGCATGGTTTTTCTTATGTTCTTCTTGTATAGTCTGCTTTCCCTGCTTTCCTTGGGAGTCCTAAGCAAATTTAATGAGGTTACACATCTGCAGCCTCTTCTGAAGATCATTTTTAGACAAGTCTCTGAAGAGTGGTTAATACATTATTATCTTCTTGAAAAAGAAGGCCAGTTAAAAAAGAATACTTTATTAAACCAAAGCACAATTGGAAAGAGCAATAGCTTACAATCTTGAATTGCATGGGACTTGCTTTCCTCCAGCTTCTAAAATCTGGTTCCAAGCTCCTGCAGACCTACAGGAAGTAAGTCACTATGGCATTGTCTTGGGGAATGGATGCTGTGGTTTAATTTATAAAAACATCTTAAAATCTTTTTCTTGCTTTTCTGCATAATAGTTCTACAGGGCAAGTCCCATGCTGCAGATGAGGAACTAAGGTTAAAAGATGGTAACTTACTCCATGTCGCAAAGTGCTAGAGAAAGTGCATTTTAGAGCCCTATTTTGGCATTCTGCTTTTAGTGTTGAGTCAATAGGTGAGGGGAGATAGCCAAGAGTATGCTAGCTCCAGCCCCATCACTAATCTATAAAGGAACATTTTCTACAGTAAGGAGCCCTTCCTACTCATCCAGGCTCCCTGCATGAGCAAGACTGGTAAATGAGGCTTGCTGCTTCAAAAATTATCTCACCAAATGGGGTGTGACATGGACAGCAGCAGGGGGATGCTCAGGCTTATCCCCCAATCTGGTTCTTTGGTAAAACACAGAAAGTGCAATGCTTGATCAGTGTTTCAATCTAAGTTTAATGCTGCATCCACATACACTCGTAAAAATACAGGAGAGATTCATTCACCCAATCTGCATGAGGAATTTATGCTCCTACCTCCACCCTGCAAAAAAGAAAAAAAGTGTGTTTCTTGCTAAACAAGGCTATTTCCAGCAGTAAAATAGATGTGCATATAACCAGTCTTGGGTGACATTTGCAGATATCTTAAGAATGAAACTAAAATGTGTATCTCTAAAAAGTAACATTAGAACCAGGCATAAGACATCCTTTCATGCTGCAAAACAGGCCTGTACACAGCAGGCAGGAGGTGGGAATCTCCAAGGTGAAAGGTCATAAATGCTAAATAGGCCCAGACGGCTGGTGGTTTGTTCTTTATGGGGCCAAAGACTGGGTCACCCCCTTGGGGGAATCTGCTGTCTCTCTGGTCTCAGTCACTCCTTGTTACATTGGGCTCCATTCTGTCCGGGTCACGCATTTTCTGGGGGAACCCGTACTTTCACGAGTGTCTTGGGACCTCTAGTTTGCATGTGTTTGTGTGTTAGCACTGTCTGAGCCAGCTCCAGGTTTTGATGGAAAATCCTGAAGAGATTTTTCCCAGCCAATTACAATATTGTTCTCTGAGAGTTCCATGCTTTCTGGGGTGAGGTGTGGGAGTAGGGAGGAGAGATGCTGCAAGTTTTAAGTGGAATCAGGTGCTGTTTCCCTGCAGGGATGTCTGGAAAATGTCAAAGTCCTTGGAGTAACAGGTACTGGCAGATGAGCCCAGCACTTCCCACACAGAGCAACCTCTTTCCTTCTGGAATCCTGCATCCTGTCCTTGTTCCTTGGAGCAGAAGTCCTTAGCAAGCTTAAATGTACCAGCCATATGCCGGCTAGTCAGCACCCGCTAGCAGTGGCAGTGGAAGACTCAGATGGCAGATCTGAGACAAAAACAGGACCAAGTCGAGTCACACAGAGTGCACCTTCTTGGAGCCCACCTGCCTGGGGCCAGGAACCACATTCAAGGCTCAGAGGATTCCACCTGTGAGTGTGCAGGTGCCAGGGGAACATGTGTTGCCATGGTGATCACTATTGTGTTTCATAAGTAAGAAGGAGTGAAGGAAAGCAGACTGGAGATGCAGAGAGAAGCTATAAGTTTCCAGCACAAAGGCTGCTAGCCTCCTCCCACTCCTCCGTTCCTGCATTGATGATGTAATATAGCAAATTTCTCTACCTCAGTGCAGGCTGGAGGGCTATTTTTTGCCCTTGAATATAATGAATTTCCTTTCTTCCATGAAGCACTACCAGTGATGCAAATTAAGGTAGGGATCAGCACTTGTTTGAAAAGGCTTGCTCCAGGGAGAGTCTGACAGAGATGATCCCGGCTCTGGGTCTGGATGATTGTCAGATCTTCTATAGCTGCTTCCTATCTTAAAGCTTCAGCAAAATTTAAAAGGAGAAAGTTCACTTTTCAGGGATGCCCAGCAATCATGCCCCTTTGGTTATTAACTGGATCAGACAAACTGTTATTTCCTGCTTCTGTGCTCTTTACAACAACATGATATGCAGATAGAATGAGTGAGTATGATGCCATCTTAAAGGTGGCTGGTTCAACAGGTGCTGTCCCTATTAATATCCGACACAGGTCTTTCTATGGCTAGGTTGCAGACACAGCTAGCAATCCTGAAAGACCTCCTGTAGCTTTAAACCTACCGTTACATAAGAGGCAGAAATTACACTAGACATGGTTTCTCCTGTAACAGGAAAAGTTAGACCAAGCAACGATAGACATGTCCATGTTTGGCTGTTTAAAGTTTCTATCCTCCAGCACATAAGCTCTGTTCACAACTACTAATTTTGATAAATCATCATGAATGTAGAAAAGTGGGCAAGGTACCAGCAGAAAAAGAGAAAACACTGTGTTCTCAATTATTGAAGCTAAAATTAAAGTTTGATTTTTTCCATCCTCCAGCACATGAGCTATATTCACAGCTACTAATTTTGATAAACCATAATGTATGAAAAAAGTGGGCAAGGTACCAGCAGTAAAAGAGAAAACACTGTGTTCTCAATTACTGAAGCTTCAAGTTTTAATTAAAGTTTTTAAATTCCATCCAGGGTGGGGCTATTATGCAAAAGTTCAACACTTTGCAATGCACAGGACATAGTTTTCCAAACACTCAGCTGGGAAAAACATGTTGTCCGTGAAAATTAGGAGAGAATCTGCCTGTTTCCACTTGTTAGAGTCACCAGTGATGTTTCACAAGATTTTACATACTTGTAAAATGGAAATCCAAAACTTTCAGATGAAGTCCCAGGTGGAAGTGACTGCCCTATTCTTATGTATACTGCACAGTCTAATGGATAGAAGTGCCAGTGTTTTTAAGAACACAAGACAGGCTGTGCTGGAACAGATCAAGGATTTAGTCCAGCATTCTGTGAACACAATGACCAACCAGCTACCAATGGGATCCCACAAGCAGGATATGAGTGAAACAGCACCCTCCTATCCAGGTTTCCCAGTAATTGATGCAACAGAGTTGATGCAACAGCTATCTTAAAACTACAGTTCAAGATGCTCCAGATCAGAATTTGTCAATCAAAAATCAGCTTAGATCATAGAAGGACAACTACTGGTGTGGAGGCCAGACCTGACCTATGAAGTTAGCCACTGGTAGTCCTATCATATTTTATTTTAGGGGTATACAAAGTTGGAGTTTGGATTTGTTCATAACAAAAATACTGAATTTGTGTGCTTTTTAATTGTAATCTTCTATCTGTCTTTAGGTTTGGATTGGAGAGGTCAGGTAAAGGAGCAGTCCCTAGATGAAACCAACAATTTAGAACCTACCTACATAGAACAGTGTTCAAGGCCAAACTCAGTGAAACTTGGTATACTGGTTAGTTCCAGGACCAAGGCCTATGAAAATAAAAATGTTTGGACTCCAAGACAGGGCATACAATGCATGAGGTTTATTACCCTTCTCTCAGTTTATGATCTGTCCTATCTCAATATGTTGACCTTTGTCTAGAAACATTCTGATGTTACACTCCCACTATATGAGCCTTACAAAAGGATTGTAAATATTTTGTTTAATGTTACTGCCACCCTGGCCAGCAGAGCCTCTTTGGAGACACCTGGACCACAACCCTTTGAGGCGCTTAGGAGATTGACCAGGCAGAGTTCTTAGGAGTTACTTGATAAGAAGAAAGAGAGACTAAAGGAACTACAGAGATGGGCAGGGGAGTGAAAACCACCATTCTGAGAAGGCTCTAGAAGAGAAAGCAGCAGCCCCCTTCTGCCCTCAAGCAACAATAATCCAAACACTGCTTCATAGTCAAGCAAGGAACAGAGGCTGAGGCCTACAACTACATCCAAGCCCAGGCCTGTTCAGTCAAGGTCTGGTCTAAGGAACTAATCATTCATCTATGGATTACTTTATTA